GGTACCTTTTAGATACACATAACAATCACAGGTGTTCATACTCATACCTGAGTACACCTTGTTTCTTTCATTCCTCCTCCCTTTCTTTAAAAGACCTGTTACAGAAGCTTCGTTTCTACTTTTCCCTTCTATTATTGTCCCTGCTTTTCCTTCTCACTCCATTGTTTGCCTTCTCATTTAAATTTTCTTCCCATTTCCCAAAAAACTCTAGTTTTTAATAGCTGATACATTTACTACTTACCACATGGCAAGCAGTAGTCTAAACATGCATCGTGCATTACCTTGTGTGCCTTGTATTTGTTACAGGGTCTACAGGGTCTCATGCGCACCGCCGCGCCCACACCCATGCCCAATCTCAATCATTATCCCAGTGCACCCTGGGGGGCCAGGCCGGACACAGCAGGCTGGGGATCAAACCTCCAGCCCCTGTATCTGTCTCTGCAAGTAGGCGCTTTTGTCCCCTGAGCTATCTGGCCAGCCCCATCCCCCAAAATTTCGATGCAGATTATTGCTGCCAATTTAAAAATTAGGGGCCGGGGAGACAGCTCAGTAGGATAAGCGCTTCCCTGGCAAGCGCAAAGGCCTGAGTTCAATCCCCGGTTCTGCCAAAAATAAATAAATAAAAATTAAGAAAAGGATATAAAGTAACCTGCCCAAGGTTGTATTACAGGTGACTAGCAAACTCCTGATTTACTTATATTATGCATTATATAATTATTAGTTAACAGCAAATTCAAAACAAATGACTGTACTCCAGCTTTATAATCATCAAATATTTAACATGTTATATGTCAGAAGCTTTTTTTTTAAAACAAAAAATTTTATGTATATAGGACAGGGTCTCACCATGTAGCTCGGACCTGTAGTGAGCCTGTTTCAGCCTCCCCAGTGCTGGGATTACAGGTGTGCACCACCACACATGGTCTTGGTGGCCAGCGGTGTGCCTGTGGTCCCGTGGCTGGCATGGCATTTAGCACTGGGGATCAAAGCGGGGATCTCGCACTTGCCAAGGCAGGCACTTACGCCCCAGGAATCTCTCCTCAGCCCTGTGCCAGAAGCTTTTAATTGATGACAAGATGGACAAAACCTCTGCTGCTCTAACTCTCCCAACTGTTGAAAAATAAACACCTTTTCCATTGTCACTGCAATGGAAAAAATAAACTGAACTACGATCTAAATGACTTCAAATATACCCATTCCAGAAAAAGGGAAACGTGGAAGAGACATCTCAGCAAAGCTCAGATCTATTGATGAAACAGAAGAAAAGCAGTTAAAAAAAGTAATGCCACAGGTGAGGTAAGCAGAGGCTGGTTTGGACAGTCTTACGAACAGCATTTGTGGGTAGCGGATAGTTTTTATTTGCTAGTAAGGTTAACAGGGAGTCATTGAAGGGGGGGAAGGAAGGAAATGATATAGCATTTAGGATATAAAAATCACTTTGGAAAAAAAAAGTAACTTTGATTACACAAGGTAGAAACTGAGACCAAGACAGAAAGGACATTAATTACAACAACAGGGGCTGCGGAGATAGCTCAGTAGGATAAGCACTTGCCTGGCAAGTGCAAGAGCCTGAGTTCAATCCCCGGTTCCAAAAAAAAAAAAAAATTACAACAACAGTAATCACAGCACGGACTGGAGTTCTAATAGAGGAGCTGGGAAGGTCAGGATGCTTTTAAGTAAAAGAACGGGAACTTCTGGCTAATTAGATGTGGAAGGAAAAGGAAAAACAACAATATAAAATGAAGGGTAACAGAAAGGATTTTTGGCTCCATCAAAAAATTAGGTCCGTTCTTACCCACTAGGAATCAGTTCTGAGCACGTTAGGTTTAAGAGAACTAGTACACATACACAGCTAGTATACCTAAGAATTAACTAGTATTTAAAACTTAACTGCTACACAAATTTATTTACAAATAACATAGAAATGTGAAAATAAAGTGCTGCTACATTAGAGAAAGAAAGCAGTCATAGCCAGGCATGGTGGCACATGTCTATAATTCTAGCACTTTAGAGGCAAAACAGGAAGATTGCCTTGATTTCAAGGCCAGCCTGAACTACACAGTAAGACCCTGTCTCAAAAAAAAAAAAGCCATCATAAAAAGATTCTGCTCCAGGGCCAGTGAGACAGCTCAGTGGAATAAGCACCTGCTTAGGCCAGCACACAGATCAGGGTTTGATCTGATCCCAGGCACCAGAAGTCAGGCCGGTCCCACCCCTGGAAACACTAAGCAGGCCACTGAATCTGGGCATAGTGGTGCATGCCTGTAATCCCAGCACTGAGGAGGCTGAAAACAGGAGGATCACTAGGAGTACGAGCTGTGTAGTGAGACCCTGTACTAAATACATTTAAAAAAAAATAAATAAGATTCTGCTCCAAATACCTCATAAGGGCTGGCCAAATAGTTCAGCAGATTAAAGCACCTGCAAGCAGGCACAGGGGCTGGGGGTTCGATCCCCGGGGGCTGCTCTGTGGGGGCCCTACCCCCAGGGCACAAGTGTGGGCCTGTAATCCCAGCTCTTGGGAGGCTGTAAATAGATGGATCACTACAAGTCTGACCTAGTAGTGAGACCCTGAACACCCTGTAGACCCTTCCCTAAAAACACACACACAAAAATACCTAATAACCTTAATCTATAAATCAGTTTATGAATTACAGTTTCTAAACTACTACTTCAGGGGCTGGGGAGATAGAATAAGCACATGCCTGCAAGTACAAGGGCCTGAGTTCTATCACCAGTAAAGAAAGAAAGAAAAAAAAAAAAAAAAAAAAAGAAAAGAAAAGAAAGAAAGAAAGATTACTTCATTTTCTACCTGTCCTAACTCCTGCCTGTTAGAATAAATTTCCATTTATGGAGAATCCAAGTCATAAAGTTCGAACTACCCTCATAACTTCTGAGGGAAAAAGGTTACTGAGGACCCAGTTTCTAAGTCCAAAAATGTTAAGTCACTAGATCATCTGGCATATATATGACAGCATTGCCTTTCTCAAGATAAATGATGTTGGTAAGAACATTAAGGATCAAAACCTACATGAATTTTGAGAAAAAAACAGTATCACCAACTTAATTTTATTTTTTACCAACTTAATTTTAAAGTAAAATGTACTTAATTCTATATACCCTAATTTTTTTTTTTTGGTAGAGGGAATTAAACTCAGGATCTTGTGCTTGCCAGGCAGGCCCTGTTTCTGTGAACTATATCCTTGACCCTATCCTAATTTCTTTTCTTTCTTTTTTTTGGTACCAGGATCGAAATGGGACCTTGAGCTTGCCAGGCCGGCATTTATTCTGCCCGCCTAATTTCCTATTAGTAAATTCATCTACATTCACCATAATACGTATTAACCAAATAACATGTAATAATTTTATTTATCTGATGTACTATCTTTTGATTTAAAGCATACAGCTACTGTGGTGGTGATGCAGCCCAGCGGCAAAGTATTTGTCCACAATAAGCAAGGCCCTACGTTTGATCTCCAGTACTGTGAAAAAAAAATAGATAAAAAGTAAACAGATATTTAGAATATAAAAATCCTTTTCAACACTAGGAAAAGGATGGTCATTCTAAATTTACAACAGTAGCCTAAGGGTGGGGGTACAGCTCAGTAGTGCAGTATTTGCTTAGTTCATGCAAGTCCCCATGTTCCTCCTCATGACAGGGAGGAGCTGACCAAGTATGGACAATCAAAAACACAGTCAGTATTTTTTTATTTTAATTTTATTTATTTGTGTGTGTGTGTGTGTGTGTGTGTGTGTGGCCAGCTCAGCCCACGAGGGGGCGGGGCTGGCTGGCATGTGGTGCTGGGGGATCGAACCCCGGTCCCTGTGCTTTGCCAAGCTTGTTCTAAGTAGGTGCTTTAGACCACTGAGCCATCTCACCAGCCCCGTCAGTATCTTTTTAGATCAGTAAACTTACAATTAAAAGAATTCTTAAACTTATAAAACCAAAAAACTCTACCAAATGCTAACATTAACCTAAGTATTTCCAACCCTTGCACGCATCAGAATTCTCTCAAAGACTTGGCCCCACGTCTCACAGTGTAAGATCTGAAGGAGCTAAGGCTCTTTCCTAACTGAAGTTCCTTTGCTGTGCTGGTGTTGACAGACCTGGCACCACACACTGCAAACACATTCTGAAATGGGGGTGCAGCTTTAGGACGGAGCACTTGCCTTGCATGTGCAGCAAGGCCCTGGGTTTATACCCCAGTACCAGGAAAAAATGACTATAAATCCTCAATCAGTTAGATTACATAGCACTTATAAGGGTATTAAGTTGCAGATATATAAACCTAAGTCTGGGAAGTAAAGAGACAGTCCCTAAAATAATCCCATGTGTAACTCAACTTTCAGCCGCGATTTCTGAACTGATGGGCTTCACCCACTCAGCTAGCTCCCTGCCAATACCTCCACAGAAGCAGCAGGACTACACAGAGTGGCTCTAGGGGTGCTGGCAGGTTAGCTCAGTTGTTAAAAGCGCCCACCTGAGCAAACTCAGTCAGGCGCAGGGGACTGCAGCTTGATCCCCAGCTCCAGACCAGCCCTTAAGGCAGCCTGAGCCAGCCCCCCACCCCCCCCAAAAAAGAAAGAAAAATCCTCAAGCGACACAGAGCACCACCCAGGTTTCCTCTTCTCATCTTCCCCACACCAGACTCCAGGGCTTGTCTCATAAAATTTAGGAGCCTAACATGGTATGCCAGTGGCACTAACGAAAACCAGTTATTTACTAACTGGAAATACTGAATGCCTTCTTAAAACATCCGTTTCATACTTCATCCAACTTGTGATTGCTGAGAGGATAACATTTATGATTAAGGAAACAACTGGCTTAAATTCAATCTACAGTGCTTTTATCTGTACCTTAGAAATAAGACTCCTCCCTAAGAACTGCCAAAACAGAGCTGAAGACTATTTCAAAGTCCAAACATACTTTAAAGTTTTCATTTTATGTGTAATGACCCTATAGAATTAACGCATTTGTCTCTAAAGCAAACAGGACTTACGTCTCGTGAGTTCCAAAAAAGAAGATGGGCAGTTTGTTTGTGGGTGGCTTTACCGCTCCATCAGGAACTTCATCTACCTAAAAAAAAATCAGAAATAGTAAAAACATTTAAACCATACATACCTTGACATACATGAATAAACAGAACAAAACATGCCAAGGGATCTCATATAAAACAGACCCATTTTACAGGCCCATAATCCTATATTCTCAATGTTAAACATCAATTCTACATAAACAAGATTTTTTCAAAAACTCATTTGGTGACAAAACCCGAACTAACACTAGAATCAATCAGTTCTTTATTTTATCCACCTAGTGTTTCTACTACTGTGTCTCTGTGGAAATGTTGTGTTACATTATGTGTTATCCCAGACCCTAACAACATAAAATACAAGGCATAAATATCACAAATCAACTTCCTAAAAATCCCCAGATTCTGCATTCTTAAATGTTTGCCCTTACACTTTTTACAACTGGAGTCTGAATCTGTTTCAGAATCCTAAATGCTATTTCTGAAAAATGGTTAAGCAAATAAAATAATGTAAAAGCAGACATTACAAAAGTTTACAGCAGCAGTTCCCAGAATTTAAAACACTATAAAGATTCTTCACCTACCTATACAGCTAAGCCACATGGGGTCACCTATTCTTCCAGTTCTCTTTCAATCCTTTCTTTGAGGAGGGGGGCACTGCAGCAGGGTGTCACCATGTAGTTCACTCATACAGGCCATTCACACAGGCCCTAAACGTACTACACTGCCCAGGCTGGCCTCTGACTCTCAAGATCTTCCAGCTCCAGCCTCCCAATTATACAGGTGCATCACATCTAATGCTTCCATGATACCTGTTACTTTCTCTTTTCCCCCATTCAGGTTATCAAGCAGTAAGTAGTATCTAGCCAGAAGTATCATTTCTACTTCTAATCTCATAATCTCAAAAAACATTTAGTTAAAAAATTTGCTGACTTTGTACTAGAGCTGAGTAGCAGAAGATCTACTATGCCCTGTGAGCATGGTGGCATAGCAAAAAAAGACCACAAGGCTCACTGAAGGTCATCTGTAGGGTACTCACAAGGGGTCACTAATGCATTATTACCCAATGGAACCTCACTTTTCCACCTGTAGAATGAAAACTGTACTTATCATTTCAACTTTGTGGAAGACCCCAAGAATTGCAAAAGCTTCCTTATTCCTTAAAACAAGGGATATTTTCTGTCAATTTGGTTCATACATTTACTCCTGCTACTAACTAGCTTTAAAAATTTGTTCCAATGCTTATCACCTATAAAATCTAACAAATGTTAGGCAACATTTTAAAAAGTTGATTTTTGGGAAGGGGAGATGGCTCAGTAGAATAAGCGCTTGCCTGGCAAATACAAGGGCCTGAGTTCAATTCCCGGTTCCGCCAAAAAAAAAGGTTGATTTTAAAAAACAAAAAGATTGGGTCGGGGAAATGGTTCAGCGGAATAAGCACTTCCCTGGCAAGCGCAAGGGCCTGAGTTCAATCCCCGGTTCCACCAAAATAAATAAATAAATAAATAAATAAAATACTGTATTTGGGGCTGGAGAGATGGCTCAGTGGTCTAAAGCACCTACTTAG